CCGGACCTCGGCGCCGCTCGGGACTCGCGCCCCAGGCGCCCGCGGGGAGCGTCGCGCTTCCACCCGGGACCTGCCTGCTGCGACACTCGGAACCGGGACGCCCAGCTCTCAGACGCGGCCCCAGTCCCCGCGCCCGTACCTGAGAGGCCGCGCCAGGGCCGGGAGAGCGCGCCGCGCCAGCCCCACGCACCGGACCGCCATGATGTCCGCCTTCACTGCGCATGCGCCCTCGGGCCGCGGAACGGGCGCAGACTCCGTAGCCATTTTGCCCACCCACCCATCTCCTCAGCCAATCCAAGACCGCAAGGATGTGATGGACAGTCTATACTCGCCAGTAATTGAGGTCCGGAGGCGGGATCTGGGGGGGCCGTCGGGAGCCCTAGAAGGTGAGGAGGTGAAAGGTGAAGGGAACAGTAGGAGGAGACTGTGGGGGCGTAATCAGGCAAAAGCCAATGGGGAGCGAGTAGGGGCGGGGCTTGCGTCGGGGACGGGTGGCGCGTGTTCCCCGCTGCGCCCATTTCACTGGCCCGGAGACCGCGTCCGTCTCGCTGCTCTCCAGGCTCGGAGCCCGGCCTCCGTCCCAGCCAAGCGCACCGGGCGCTCGCTTGCTGTGCAAGGCGCTTGGTTCGCGGCGGTCCCTGGCCCTGCTCCGGCCGCCACCCGCGCCGAGGACGGGGCGGCCCCCGGGAAGCCGAGCAGCGGGCTCGGGGCCACAAGGACTTTAGAAAGCGAGACCCGGGAAAGAGTCGGGCCTGGGCGTTTTGTTGTAGAAAGTCGTCGGGCAGCAAATGGACCGAATTTGCTAGTGTCAACGTTGGGTGATGGGCAGCTATCCTTAGGAGCCGTCAGGTCGATTTTGACTCAATCCGGGACGGGGGTGGGGGGTGGGGGTCGCCATCGTCTTCACCTGCGTGTGTCAGTGCTTCCTCCTCCTCAGCTTTGCCCGGCTTTCACCGGCAGGAATATAGGCGGGTGGGGTTTTGTAGTTGTATTTTTCCATCTGGTTTTCTCAACAGAAAAGGACAATAAATAACGCTCGCCGGAAAACGTTTGCGACACACCCGGAACTCCTGGATTCCAAGGCATTCACCCCTCTGAGGGAGGCCAGTGCTCAGCCTGGGCTTGGGCTGTGACCCGACTTTGTCCCTCCATTGGGGGCCCAGGAGGCTCCTGTCTGGTGGAGCCTCCCAAGTGCAGAGCTGCCTGGAATGCTACCTTGCAGAGAGTAAATCCTTTCTTCTTTAGTTTGTAGTCCTGAAAGCCACTTAGCCGCTCATGTTCACAGCACACACTGGGTGCCAGGCAGGCAGGCCGGCCGTCAGGCCCAGAAAGGTGAGACAGGACCACAGGACAAGAGAAACAAGGAGCGGAACAGCTGGGACTGAGGCTCATGGTGGACCTCCTCTGGGCCGAGGGTAGACCCAACCAGCCATGAGCACCCATTTGTAGACAGACACACATGCAGAAACTCAAATATAAACTTGGGATGGAGATCATCCCAGCACCCATCTGTCAGGGTGTCACACGGTGTTGGCTTGTTTGTGGCTGTGGTGCTGGAAGCTAGCCTCCCCCCCATAGTTCCAACACCAGCAGGGTCACCCTGGTGGACAACTGTCAGTGGAGCATCCAGACCACAAGTAGGCAGAAAGGTCAGCTGATTTATCCCCACAATTTAGCCCATGAGACCTGTGGACCCACGGGGCTATAAGACACTCAGGAAGGATAGAATCCACCACATGGGCCTGAGATGGAAATGAGGCCAGCACTGCCTGGCCCTGTTGTGAAAGGACTCAGCAGGAGTCAGCTTGGACTTGCCAGCAAGTTCTGAGGTGTCAGGGAGTCAGGGTTAGGAGCGGCGGTGTGCTGGTGGCAATGTGAGACTCCTGGTATTTGGGCGTGTCAGCAGAGAGCACTAACAGTTCATTTAGGACAGCGGTTCTCCATCTGTGGGCCGCACGTGACCCCTTTGAGGGTCAAACAATCCTTTCACAGTGGTCACCTGATTCATAACTATCGAAATGACAGTGATGAATTAGCAACAAAAATTATTTTATGGTTGGGGGGGTCACCACAACATGAGGAACTGTATTAAAGTGTTGTGGCATGAGGAAGGTTAAGAACCACTGATCTAGAACTTTGCTTTATGAGCAGCTCCGGAAACGGAACATGGGGGCAGAAGCTGCTGGGGGAATGAGGGTCAGTGGTCAGGTCGGTGCCGAGCCAATGATGTGTATTTTCCTCTCCCAGTGTGTGGAATTTTCCACTGTCCCTAACCTTGGGCTGGAGTCAGTGCTGAGAACACTGCTGTGTCCAGTGATAGGCAGGTCACCCCCTGGTGGTGGGCCTCTTGGGGTCAGGGCCAGCCAGCTGCCGGGCCGATGTTTCAAGAACCAGTTTCCCCGGAGGTGCCTGTGCTGTCACCTCGTGGCTGCGCCCAGAACTGCTTGGATCGCACCCACAAACTGTCCCCATTGATTTGTGGGCCAGAGGGGCGCTGCCCGTCGTCGTGGTGATTCTAAGCCTGCTGATGGTTCCGGAAGCCGCAGAGATCTCTCTCCCAGGAGCAGCTGGTGGGCTCGGCCTTTGGCTCAGCAGTCGTGAGCCGAAACCGTTGTGCCTCAAGTTCCCTGTCCTCGGTGCTCAGATGGCCACCTCCCCACAAACTCCCAGGGTCTAGAATTCGACCAGCAAAGCCACACACAGGGGGCAAGGCCTTGGGGCTGGGCTGGGGGTCAGCAAACCAAGCAAGGTGTAGTGTCCCACTGCCTTGGGACACCCTCTGTGTCGGAGAACTGTCCCGTGGGGGTCTCTGTAGTTGACCCCTTCAGAGGTGCCTCTGGTGTGCGCCAGCCGAGGGCTTCACCGTGTTTGCCACGGCTCCCCGGGACAGCTCCCACAGAGAAGGTGGGGCTGGGTGGGCATTTACAACAGAAGGGAAGCCTCTCAGAAGCAGGGATGGGGTGCCCTGATGCAGGGGCCGGGACCTGTGCTAGGCCTGCAATGATGTCCCCTTGTGTGGGATACAAAAGGGTTTTTCCTCAGGTTTCCCCCCTAAATATATGCTTACAACACATGGTACATGACTGTACACTTGGAGGTCAATGTCAACTGCTTAGAGGTTATCTCCCTGAGGGCATCAGCCATCTAAAGCAATCATACACTACACTCTGTCCCACCATAGATGGGGCCCACTCCCTGCTGATAAGGATAGTGATTGTTTCCCTGAAGGAGAGCCCAGAGACAAGGTCACGTCAACTCAGGGAGGATCAAGGTTAGGCTGCCATCTTGAATCTAGGATCCACCCTCCCCTTCCTATTGCATGCACACTCCTAGATCGGCCCCCTCCCATTGCTTATATTGCCTGTGGTACAACCCCTTCCTGTGACGTATGTGGTCATCTGTAATCAGGGGGGCTTGAACACCCCTAAGGATATATAAGCCTTGGCTAGAAATATATTCTCTCCTGTCTCTCACCTCCACGTGGACCACCGAGAGGGCCTGAGGCGAGCACGCTACCATGCAATGTGTCTGACTCCTTCATTTTACGCTCTCCTATCTCCTACGGCTTTACTATGATCTTTATATATCATCAACGTACAACCGCGCCTGCGGACCCCGTGGTTGTCAGAGGCTAGTTTACTGTGGTCAGCACAAGCACCAGTAGAGCGGCTCAGCCAGCGCCAGGGACCAGCGGGTCCCGGCCGAGCGGGTCTGACATCTCAGGGACCAGCGTCATCCTTGGACTCTACATCCAAACAAGCAGGTTCCTGGCCTCGTGGGCCCCGAGGTGCAACGTGAACAGCTTGGCTGCAGAACAAAATGAGCCTCGTAGGAAGGGCCTGTCAACCAGCTTCTGAGATGGCAGCTGTTGGGGAACAGGGAGCGTGCCTCGGACAGACACATGGGGGCCAACAGCCGGTTTGTTCAGGTGTCCCTGACTGCCCCTCACACACACACATCCAGGGCTGCTGGGGTGGGGAGGGGACAGAAGGGTCCCAGGCAGCTGACCTTAAGGTGCACAGACCACCTGGTGGGCTGACCTTGAACACCTGAGCTTTTCCTCTGGGGCAGCAGGAGGGCGTAAACCATGGGCTCCAAGAAAAATAATGTTCTTGGGAAGAGCACCTCCACAAGGGGCCCAGGTGCTCCAGCGCAAAGAGCATGCAGTGAGGAGAGCCATGCACTGGGCGATCAGCTGCACGGAAGACATCTGAGTTCGGGTACCAGCCTTTCCGGGGAACCTTCCAGAAGCAGGCAGACACCGCTCCCCCAGAGGGTGAAGCGCTGTGACTCTAGTGCCCACAGAGGGTGCCTCCATCTCCTCCTCATATGGCCCGGGTCTTGTGCCCAGTGTGGGTGACAGAGAATGGAAGGAGAGGCCCGAGGCCCCAGGAGGACTCTTTGCAAGAAGCGGTTATGAGTCTCTAAGTCCCTGCCATGGGGGCCTGACCCTGCAGCCCACAAGCAGCAGTGTCATGGGGTGAGGCTAGGGCAAGCAGATCTGCCCCTAAGCATCTAAAGGAGGAGGCCCCAGGATCCAGGAGACTTGGGCTTGTGGCGGCCCCTTGTGGCTGCTCTGCTGTGCTCCGGCCACCACCTCCTCCCCAGTCTCATGAGGCTTCCGGATCCGCCCTGCTCCCAGGTTATCACAAGCTCGGGCTGGGCTCTGTGGTAACCCATGGTAACCATCACCATTAATCCTGATCATTGCTGGAGGGGCTCCACAAAGCAGCTGATCTCTCACATCAGCTGAAGGTCACCCTGCCCCACGCACAGAGCACCGAAGAGAGATCATGGTCAAAGAGGCCCACCTTATCTCTGCCTCCCAGAGTCTGATACCACCTCCACAGGGACTGGGTTCAGGTTGGGGGTTTGTACTCAATCTGAGGGCAGCGGGAGGTTGGGGGTATGGGGGACAAGCTACGCTGGGTCTGGGTCTTTGCCGCCTCACAGGCTGGCGAACATGTAGTCCACTCTACAGGTCAGGTGGCAGCCTGGAGGCTTCTGTCCACTCTCAACCCAAGAACCAGACCCTATAGCACAGGATAAAACTGCCTCTTGGAGTTTCTGAGACGGTAACTATTTATGGAGCCTTCTTGTGTGTGTGTGTGTGTGTGTGTACATATATATATATGTGCGTGTGTATATAATAGGAGCCTTCTTGTGAGGGAAAATGGTCTTTTCAGTAAATGACTTTGCATGAGCCAAAGATTCACATGGAAAAATAGATTTTAACCCCTACCTCACACCACACATCAACATCAACTCCACATGAACTGCACATCTAAGTGCAAAAGGCAAACTAATAAAACTTGTAAAAGACACCACAGGAGAACAGTTCTGGAGATACGGAGTAGGGAAAGACACCACAGGAGAACAGTTCTGGAGATACGGAGTAGGGAAACACATTCCAAAACAGGACTCAAAAATGCCAACATGGAATGAAAAAAAGCCCCAAATTGAATTATTAAAAATGAAAACTTCTGCCCCGCCCCCCAGAAAAATTTATTCCAAAGGAGGGCATTGAATCTGCAGCTCTGAGAGAGGGACATATCTAATCCAAGCACACGGGAACAGATGAAGAGGAGGAGGAGAGTGGAGCACATCCTGGATCACCAGGCCGTGAGGACGATGTTCCCAATTAGAGCAGCCAGTCCACAGAGAGGACCACATGGCCGACCCCACTATGAGACATGACGTCCCTCACTGACCCATAGTCCTACAGGGGACAACACCGGAGACAGTGTGGGAATTGCACCCGATCTGATCCCGTCACACCGAGGCAAAACACGAAGGGGATGCAACAGAACAGCAAGGGAACGGAGTGGCGAGGTCCCCAGGGAATGCTGAAGGTGGACTTTGGGGCCAGGGCATGGTGCCCCAACAGACTGGACTGGAAAACACTCCTAAAGGCCAACAAACAGCCCTTGAACTAACTACAAGCTTTTCTTTCTTGTGTTTTGTTTTTGTGTCATTGGTTTGTTGTTGTTTTGTTGTATATTGTTGATTAGTTTTGCTCTGTCTTGCTTTTGTGCATGTTATTATCTCCGCAGGTCTGTCTAAATAAAATAGGCTGGATGAGCAATGTGGAGGAGATAGCAATGGTACCGACAGTTCCGGGGGACATGGGAGGGGGGTGGTAAAGATAGTGGTGTTAAAAAACCCAGGGACAAGGGAACAACAAGTGATCCAAATCGGTGGCGAGGAGGATGTTTGAGGCCTGGTAGGGCATGATCAAAGGTAATGTAACCAAGAGTAATTGCTGAAACCCTGGTGGGGGACTGAGCATGATAGTGGGACAGGAGGAAAGTCAAAGGAAATAGAGGAAAGAGCTAGGAGGCAAAGGGCATTTATAGAGGTCTAGATAAAGA